TCGTCAACGTGCACCAACGCAACCCAGTTTTCCCTGGATGAAAAGTCCCTCGGTTTCTAGGCTGAGACAGGCGATGGTTTGTCGTTGATGAGGCACCGCACCCGGATCCGAAACGGAGGAGAGGGAGAGGGAGAGGGAGAGGGAGAGGGAGAGCCCAGAGAGAGAAGTAGTGAGGTACCTCTGTACCTACCTATCAGATACGTACAAGTGAGAGAGTTCTGGGGTGGCGCGGCGCGAAGCGAAGAGGACATGGGCGATCAGCCTTCAGGTAGGTAGGCCACTTGATGCTTGAGTAGCGTCCTCGCCCTACGCAGAGTGACAGATAATCAGGACTGCCAAGGCCCGTATGGGTTCTCTCGTCATGTTCGGCTCGGTGAGGATGGTGGGAACGACTGTGTATTCGGAGAGAAGCTGAATGTCAACGGTGAGGTGTGAAGGAAGCAGCTTCATCTACAAAGTACATTGTAATTCCACAGCACAAAGGTACCTTACCTTCCACAGTCAACCATCATATGGATGGTGCGAGGTACGTACCGAGCGGTACCGAGCGGTACCAAGCGACGAGACATCTAAGCGAGCTACTACCCAAGGCAGTCTAGGGGCGGGTGTCTCCTCGACGGGGAAGGTGGAAAGGCAACCCCTTTTCCTCTTGCACAATGCAGAGGGAGTCTCCGCGTGCAATTTTTTCTCTCTTCCCCAGGCTATCACACCAAGGTAAGGATAGACTCAATTCAATCTTCAGGTGGCTCAGCACACTCTAGGCTCTAGCAATGACAGCAGGCCGGGCGATTGGTCCGTCTGAAGCATCGGGGAAGATGCCGTGTATGGGTATCCGAGAGGGTAGCTGCAGGTCCCGTAGGGTGGCATCAAACCTTAAGCATGGGGATCGCGCTTGCGGGCTGGATAGGTAAAAAAAAGGTTGCTCGTAATGCTTGTTATTAGGAAGGGTTTTTGTTCAGAACCCATGGTAATGACTGAGTATATGCATACACCTACGCCTGACCATCAAAATGTTTCTAGGGTTGCCAAGAAGGCATTCGTACGGATAACATTTGACATGTGGGAAGAGACATTGCCATTCTAGTTGCATCTTGGATCCCGCCGAACGCCGCCGTGCAGCGGGCATACCCCATCCTACCTTACTCTGGTTGAAGGTTGAGACATTCTGCACCCGATTACCATTCGATTATTAGCTTATTGCTCAAGGCAACTAGACTTGGGCCAGAAAACCCCCCTGAGAGAGGAAACGAAAATTGCGCAGAAAAAAACTTGCGCATGACTATGTTGTATTATCTGCGACCCACGAAGACTGATTCCAGTCAGTGGCATCAGCCGCAACGCAACCCAGCTTTATGCAATACAACACCGCATAGCAAGCGAACATGAACTCCCACACATGCTCGCCTATCCGTGGTGGACGCTTGTGACCGAGGTAATATTCCGACTCGATCTAGACAGCAACCTGCATATAGACTGCCTGCACGGAATGCTGAGTACCGCAGACGCGAGACTCACGTTCAGCTGGTCCAGGTTTTCCTCTCCTAGCCTAGCCAAGCCAGCATCGTTACTTCATGAAGGAGGGCTGCCTATGTTCGTATTTCCTTGTCCATACGCGCGAAAGGACAGAGACCATATTCGTTTGCACTTACACGTCCGATTTCTTCCTTGCGCTAAAGCCAAGATCATGGACAGTGTGTCCCTATGGGTGTATGAAGGTTGCAGGACAATTTTGTCCGGGAAAGGGGATTTTACCCAGCAGAAAGATAGTTGCCTTACAGTTTCTTCAGACATACAAATTGATAAACAGAGCAGACTACGGCAGCGACCAACAACAACCGGGCAAAATTCAGAACAATGAAAGGTCTGAACTAGGGTACTCCGTAGTTGTGCAGGTTCACTCCGGAGCCGGGAAACCGGAAATCCCGGGGCATGTGTGTGATCCGAGGGCGGGCGAGACGGGTAAGGTAAAGTCGTCAGTGACCGGGAGCCCATTCCAGTGGTCGAGCAACGAGACACCACACACGTGTCCGGACGGAGTAGCGCGCCGATGAGGTGCTCAATCGTTCAATATCAGGAGAAAGGGCGTGAGACCGGCGACAGCCACTTTGGTCAGAAATGCCCCCACATTGCAACTAAGTCCCAATGAGGTAATGGTTTCGATAACTGCTAGCTAATAATCTCACCTCTAGCCCAAGACAATGATTGTGCACTAACACGGCAGTGCACGGGTGCCAGAGGATCACGGCCCCTCTGTGTCTCTTGGCAGAATAAGCGTATGTCAAGATCGTGACCCTTAGTAAGGCCGCGGGTGACTCTTATTCAGGACCTTGACATGGAATCTCACTGTCTCGATATTTAGTCAAGGCATACACAATAGACAAGTTGAGGGCCTAGGTTCTGGGCTAAATCACGACGAATACTAGGTAATGCATTTCTATCTACCTCACTTGCCAAGATACGCGATTGACATTCTGGGTTAAGCTCAAGCGCCTCTGGCTGAGACAAGAAAACATGGCTATTGAGATGATCGAGGCGTTACAACCATGAGTCCCAAGAACGATTGAAGATACTGTTAGGTAAGATACTAGGTAAGCTGGTGCTCGGTGGCTCGATAGCTCAGTGTATAGGTAAGTCATACTGGAGAAAGATCAAACCCGGGCGGGAAGGACCCTGACTCAAGGGGTGCACGTGCAGGAGACGGCAGTGAACAGGACGAAAAAATTGATAAAAGAAATGCGCGTTGAAGAATCGTCTAGGAGAGAGCAGCTTGGGGCAGGAACATCCTACCTCTTTGGAGTGTGTAAGAACAGAGGTACCCGTACGAGTGATTGGCAAGTGCATGAAACAAGGACCCCAACCCTGCGCGCCTGCCCTGTTCGGAACGTGAGATGAAATAAAAAAGAAAAAGAGGGAAGGGCCGTCCAGGTTCCCGCTATGCCTGCGCATTCAACATTGCCCCAAGACCTAACTCAGGTATCCGTGGAGTGCTACCTAAGTAGATTCGATCCCTGAAGAAGAAATCCGGAATTCTGGAATTTGTCGGTGAAACCGGGAGGCATGGTTTGGCGACAGGAAGGGGGGCCGGCAGGCGAAGGTGGCTTCCCACTCGGATCCATTGACGAGCAAGGAAGGAGGGAGGGATGGAGGTATTCACCCATCGAGCGAGCGAGGATGAAGGAAGGAACCCTCCAAGCTCAACCCAGGCAGGGGAAGGGGACGCTTGCGGAAAGCTGGCTCATGAGGTACCAACCACCTACCTATCTACTTACCTTACATGTAGGGCACGGATAGATAAGGAAGGAGACGGGAAACTTTCAAGTTGCCCGAACGCCTCCCCAGTCCCCAAGCTCCCTTAGGTTAGGTTTGTAGTGCTTCTTGCCCAAAGTATCTTGATACTACCTAAAACCCTTGAGAAGTTGAGGCGGACTCCCGCTCGCTTCATGGGCTTGACTAACGTTCCTGCCTACTCGCGAAAGGAAGGCAACGTAATATCTCAGGATGAGGATTCAAAGGCGCCGACAAATCTTGGCTAAAGTTCTTTGCTACGCCATTAGGTTTTCGAGGCAAGGTACCTAGTATGGATACGGTCCCCGTACGAATACAGATGCAGAGTAATAAGGCAAGGTACCAACATGAAGTGTTGCCTACCAAAACCCCGGTCGCTGCTACCCTTGCGGACATCCTACGGGTACGGACACGGGGGCCGGCGGTTGACGATGTGGAGACCAACGTGCCCGGTGAGTTCAAACTTTGCAAGAGCACGGCAGTTGTAAACTTTCGTACACTACTTGTCTCCCCGTGCCGGTTTCCTTGTCATGATGGGAACAACGACACAATCTTCAGATACAACATGATCTATCCGTATTCTGTGCACCTTAGTGCTGTTGCATCGCCTGGTTGGTATACAACCTTCCTTCGCCAAGGTAAGATACCTGATGATGAGGTATTGCTTGCTAGCAGATCGAAAGTTTCGGTACCTAGCCGGACTAGGACTCTGCCTTACGTAAGTTAGCTACGGAAAAAGTACCTTACGGATACCTTACCTTAACTTGAGGCAAGAACCATCACTGCTTGCCTGCCCGAGTTGCCCGCACAGGCCACATCGTGTCTTTCCCATTCCCAACGACAAGTTCCACTGGCAGATCCATCAAGACATCTCTTCCTATCTGTTCCATCAATACTCAATCTGGTGAGAATCTCCCACACCATAAAACCAATAACCACAAACGCAGCACAAATCTGGCACAATCACTCATCGGGATCAATTGACTGCCCACGCTCGGCTCAACTCCTGTCCCTTGCCCATACCGGCCCCCCTACTAGTCAACTCGCTTCGAGGAAGAAGGAGAGACATGGCGCCAGGCGCCTAGCCCCCCCCCCCCCCTTGGCTGACAGCAATTCCCAAGGGACTGGAAATGGTTGCATGCACCTCAGGACATACCCCCTCCTTTTGGTATTGTCTCCAGACCCACGAGTCCAAGACGCCGCAATGGCAATTTCCCCCTCCTTCGCTCTCCATCGCCCTCTTTCGCGAGCAGTAAGTTCCAATACGGAGGACACATCCAACATGTTCAGGGCCACCTTTATCCAAGCTATGCCGAGACCTCGATGCTCGCTCAGCCCGCAGGGCTCAGGAGTCTGTCCGACAAAGCCTAGGCCAGCCCACTACTGCGTACAACAGACAGATCACAGAGGCACATTCTTTTACCGATGCGCATTTCAAGGAGCTAATACCAAGCTTGTCATGGATGGAAATCCATGGCGTTCGCCCTGCTCGTCTGGAGGTCCCATACCAAAGGCAAAAGGGAAACCCCCTCGATGCGCTCGAATCGATGGCGTATCCGTACGAGCACACTACAGAGGCGCAAACACTGTGAACCCTCCCCCGGAAATGGGTCTCGACACTCACCCGACCGACCTACGAATACGCTGAAATGGTGCGATATATCCTAGCTTGGGTTCGTGGACCGCACAATTGGCATCCACTCAGCGGTCACTCCATGTCGACGGTCGACGCCAACGCCAACGCCAACGCCAACACCGGCAAACCCGCGACCACCATGGCACCAACAACACTACCTCACCCACACCCGCGCCCAGGATCACTACACGCTAGCTGTTACGACGGGAGCACTGCAAATTGAGAAAGGTCTCTAGCCCACCTCGTCTTCGTAATTCGGCAAACGAGAGAGTCCGATCAGCCCAATCGCCTGATTAGTGCTCCAGATTAAATGGAGTCCCCTCTGAATCTGATCCTCGCAACATTCTTGGCCCTGGGCGTCTGCCGAGGAACGACATGGAATTCGACATTTCTTAAAGCCGGACAGCACCGGATTTGCAGCCGCGCCCGGGGCTCACTCACTCACTCGCACGAGATCAAAGGGCGAGATCCGCTGTGGGCTATTGCAACCACGGCTTAAGGCTCTTTTCGCCTAGCACCCGCCTGCCAATGCACCGCTCCACCCTCGGCACTCGAGAAGCCGCCCAAGCGCCTCGTAAAATGCCGTGACAAGTCCCGGAGATGGACCAGACCACACCTTATATCACCCTGAATCTCGTCAAAGTCCCGAGACTCGGGTTGCGCCCGTTGCTCGAGGGCGCCTCGGTCACTCACGTTGATTACGCCACTCGTTGAACATCTCCCTTCACGAGTCATGTTTCCGCGGTTTCACCATTCTGACTTGCTCATCATCACTCGGAACGGATGGTGTTCCCGAAGCCTTTCCCCGCCTACCGCCCCTTCTCTCCAGTGAGGCTTGGCGAAGGGCTCATATTTTGTCATGTTCGACAGCATCGCAAAAGTCCCTGAATCATATCTCGCCCACCCTCCGGCCGAGAGACCGTTGATAGGGAAATGCACCGGCTTTGCCGCGCGAGAACAGACCCATCAATTGTCACGTCAGTTGGCTCCTCTTCCTTCTGCCAGACCCATATGGCGGCCGCTCGCGAAAAGCCCCGCGGTTTTTGTTGTTCCGATTATACGAAGCCTAGGGAAAATCCTCGATCAATTCCTGCGCAAATCCCACCGCATGACCATTCTGTGAGCCGAGGCCATGATGACAATTTTGTCAAGCTCGCAACTCACTCCTCGAGAGAATCTCATCGAATATCTTGGTCAGGAATGTGATGTTTGGCTTATGCGGCAGATCACCACAGAGAATTTGTTCGCCATATTATGTTGCTCAACCGGCTTCTATGACGATCTTATCGATGACGGTCCACTGCAGTTCTTAACGATGCAAGCTATGATGCTACGCAGCCGGCCATAGCCCATGGAGAGCACTGGTCACACAGCAATCCAGGATGTGGGAATCTGTCACTGTTAGAGGTGTGACGGGGCAACGGCAGTTCTTCATCACTAATTCCTTATTGATGCGTCGGTCCAGGGGTCTCTCATTGACAAGCCTCAGCCCTCTCGACTATTGACAGGGGCCTTCTTAACAAGATCGACAAATTAGACTTGGTCCCCTCGGGGCAAGTGGCTGGTTCTCCCGCCCGAGTAGGCGTTCATCTAGAATACCGCAAGTTTCAAGCAATTACCCAACCAAAGAAGGCAACCACAGCGACCAATACACCACTTTTGTTTTCTGGAATAAACGCCGTCCCACAGCTTCCGGTCCGAATAGACAGAGCAGGAAGCAAATATTATTCTCTATGCGGAAGTATGGTCGTTCTCAAGCCAACGCCTCATTTTTCTGCGGTAAAGAAGACATGGTCCGCCGTATACAGCGGGTGATCGAAGATTCTATCCGTCTGGCCATCCAGGCACAACTAGAGCCCGCCTTGCGGCCGCTGTTCGCGACTCATGACTGGTTCATCGTTCGGAGGAGAGGTCGTCCTCACCTCAGTGTTGACCACAAGCAGAAGTACGGATAGTAACTTGTAAGAGTTTGACCCGTTTGCACAGACACTCGTTGCGGATGGGATGACAGCTGTTCATTCACTGCAACGCCGCTGGAATCACCTACACGATGCAAGGACCATGCCAGTATTGGCTGCAAAAGGGCAGCGCTAGCTGCCACCAGGAGTCCCTCTGGCTGTTCTAGAAACCTGCGGACCTTCTGCGCGCGCACGTCGCATCCCATACACAACAAGCAGGGTTTACTGCAGGATTCAGGTCGATCTGTGGCTTGAGGCGTGACAACCGACCGACTTCCTTTTCGAGCTTGCAGCCCGATTTCATCTTCCGGTTGGTCTCCAGGCCGGACCATCAATCGGCCGTCATGCTATCCCGTTACGCACGTATGAGTTTCACGACCAAAAGCCGGCCAAGTATAGCTTACTATCAAGTACACCGGACTCAAGCCGATGATGGCGGGGGGGAAACGTGGCATTTCATCGTGGAATCGCTTACCAGTACACGTCTCGGTATCATCGCGCTGGGACCTGTTGTACGAGGCATCTTGTTGAAATCACCTCAACTACCTGAGGTGTGGTGACAGAGAAACGTCGTGCAGACACTGGCCTTCAACACGCACCGCGCCGCAACGGTGCATCTGCCCCTGCTCTGCAATCAGGAGCAGAGTGCGCTCGCTCATCTTGTTGTCTGCTGCATAATTCCAGGGGCCGAATCCTTTGTTCATACCTGTTCTGGAGTTTGCGCTGGTTTGAGCAGGTGCATATCATAAGTCCATCAGCTGGCAGCAAAGCTGGATGAGAGGGACTTCTCTTACTCCGCACAGTTGGCTGCTACTTAAGATCAGTCCCTTTGGCCTAGCATGAGCAACCCGCCAATGGCTGTGTCATCACGAGAGTTAGCACTCTCCGAAATGCTGAGTCCCAGTGCCGGCATTCAACTTGACGCACGACTTTCCCCAACAGGCGCCATCAAACAAACTCCAGTGGAACTGAATTAAGGAGCCACGCTTCAGCAAAGGGTAGCTATGTGGTTGTTCTGAGCCGATTCATTTAGCCTGTACAACGGTTGCTACGATAGAGGCAACACTTGGGAGAACTAACGGCTTGTCTTTCCCATATTTCCAATAGGGTACGATATTTTCGCTTCACCTTCCTCAGTCCTTTGTATTCGCTCAATCACAGAGGGCCATACCCTTGCGTGGAACGAGGTTGGATCTAGTTAGACTCGGCATTGCGCTCCGTCCAACAGCCAACCCTGCCCAACTCAGGTCGACATCCCGATGGCAATCTTCGACAATGGCTGCCGCTGAACGGTTTCCCGGGAAGGGCTTCTCCAAAATTCCTGTCACCCTGTCTTGTTATTCCCCACATCGTCGTTAGGCAGCAGGATAACGGGATGCCGCCATCACCACCCATCGAGATCAACCACGGTATGCTGCTGATCATCTGAGATGGGATCAGCCCGTTCAACGTTGAGCGTTTGTTCGGAGCTCAAACGCACGACGGGATCGTAATATCACTTCTTGCTGCCTTGATCAACAACATGCATCCACTCGAAACGCAAACTCGGTTAGAAGTCACCGTGGGTTCCGGGCTGGAATCACCGCGACCTACACCCAGCGTACACAAAACTGACATGTCAGCATCATCCGAAAAGCCCCTACTAAGCTTGGCCATACACCCCCTTCGCGAACGAGCCGTCCATGGGTGCTGAATTCGCCGACGCCCCACTTCCGCCTGACTTCTGGTGGCTGCTTAGCAGGGGCAAAGTTCACTGTAACCGTCTCGACAGGTCGGCAGTGAAAAGACGACCAGGGCTGTCACAACTGTAGAAAGTTTATCGCCAGGATAATATCTGATGCAAAGCAAAAGGAACGGCACACACTCTGGCGTTACAAGGCTGATCCAGAGTGTGCCGTCGACTGACGTGCGGAGAGAGGTGCTTCCAATTCGGCAGATGGCTCAGCTACTGTGTACTCCGTACAGGCAGACAGGCAGCATCAAGTCAAAAGGCACCGGCAACGAGTCGACGAACTCCACAGTATGATAAAAGACAATGCGAGACCTCTTCCTCAACTAGGCACATCCACTGCCACACCATTCCATGATCTTAAGCTCCGAGCCAGCTCGGCAATTGAGATGTTGAGGTCATGTCTTTCACCCTCTACACCCTGTGGGCAATAACTCAGCCACTGAGGTAACCAGCGCAATTCATGGATGGCACGTGAGGGGCAGATCGCGGTGCGGAATTCAGCATCCCTGGGGTCATATTCCCAAAGAGGCTTCACAAAGCGAATCAAACTCTTAGTGGCTCCCCAGCTCGATCGGACGCTAAACAACCGCCCTCGTCCATGGAAAGGAACTTGAGATACGGAGTACTGGCGAAGGGCCGAGCCAATTGTACTGTGGGGGGAGGGCTCATTACTTCATCCTCCACAATGCCACGCCTTTGCGGAGGTGATTATCACCCAGGACGGGCGCGGCTCAGGCCATGTTGGCATTACGGGGCCTGTTGGTGCGGTTGGCGCACACATCGTATGAGAGAGGGACCGAGGAGGGCCAAGAACAAGGTCAGCGACCTTCCACTTTGATCGGCCCCCAAGTCACATCCCTTGTGTGGGCGGCAGCGGTGCGAGATATCAATTATCATCGCTAGTCTGCCTCGGGGGCTGGAACAGCGGGCTCACCATACTCGCAGCTCGGTCAGGCTGGAACGCTCGCTGGGCATTGGACGCCGGTGGCTGACGATAGACGGGCCCGTCCGTTGCTCAAGGCTCGAGCGACATTCCATGCGGCCTTCTACCACCGCTGATAGCAGCAACATGTTCCAACATGCTCGAATCTCGAAGGCTAAGGGAGGGCTACGTCTGACTTTCCTACGCACTTGCGGGCGTGGCTGCCATGCGTCCACTCCCTGAATCTACGCAGTATCTACAGCCATGTGTCCGGCACCCATCCAGTCAACACCTTTTAGTGATGCATCGGGCGGTCCCTGACATTACAATCTAATCATTGTCTGCAGGTCCAGAGAGGGACCTGCCAGTCTTACGCCAAGGATTTGGAACTGTTGCTGCGCTCAGCGGCGACAGGTTGGCGACACAAAACCATGGGTTTCCTTGAGTATACCGGCAGCTGTATGGGTAAATCACTCTTTGTGAGATTTCTAGAGCAAAGTTCGGATGAACGATCAACGGGCCATTTGTTTGAAACGACTTTCGGAAAGGACTGAGATGCGATGTTGCGTTAAAAAGCTGGCGTCACATCGTGTGCGGACAACAGCTTACTGAGGCATACACTACAAAAAGGCCTCTCCGCTTCGTCTAAGAATAGCCGCGGTATTGCACACCAAAACCCCCAAATCTATGACCGAAATCCTGGAGAGCAGATCCCCAGGCCGGCCGCGATGATACCCCCCGGGCCCTGCACTTCGGAGCCGTTGTCCCCCTTTCTGAGGATGACGTGGGCCCCCATATGTATTCGAGCCATTCCAAGTCCAGCCATCGTTCCGTGGCCCTGATTGAAGGAAATTTTGCTTCCGGCGCTGGTTCCCAAGCTTTCCAAC